ATAAACTAGTTTTGAAAAATATATTGCAAGCAAATCTGCAAAAGTGTGATGGCCAAGAAAGAGGAGAAGAAAACCTAAGACGGCTTGGACAAGGCAAGAAMTGTAGAAGTCAACAAAGAAACATGGACGTTTCAGTGGAAGCCTTGTGTACAAAGTGTAACGAAAAGAAAAAGAGAGAAGAAAATATAYAGTCAAAAAAATAAAGTATCGTGATCATACCAACGCAGTCTTCAGCCCTCTCTGGAATCCATTTTCCTTTTGCTTTTTCACAGACATAATTACCAATGAAGTGCCCAGAAGATGGCATTTTTCCACCTTGACACACTCTCCGTACAGACTTTTGTGCAATCGTCCATTGTGGAAATATCCAGGTGCCAGGAAGACCTCGGTCGTCAGGGTATTCCGTGCATTTTGTTCCTGGTATAAAAGTATAGAATTCATTATATCTGTAATCTTGATATTTAGGCATAAATGCACTGTTAACTGCGTAATTAATGTCCTTGGAAATGTCCTTTTGGATGAAAGCAAAAATGGTACAGTTCAACAGATGATGCAGAGAAATGGAGAGCAGATATGCTCATAGAAATTCCCTGAGATGGTTATACGCTGGCATGTGGCGCTGCAAATTGCAAGTAGACTTAAAATCCAATAATTTATACAGTTCTATTTGTGAGRAAGAAAGCMAATAAACCGAAATAGTGCWATTTTACAGCAASTTGTTGTGCAAACGACAAGAGCGAGGGTTACTTAAAGTTACCAAGCTACYAAAATCGCCAATTCATCRCACCTTTTAGGTCTGACACAGGGGGCGGATCCACGATTTTCCTCAGGGTGTRRTGTGAGCCTCYCAGGAGGTGGTGCACCCCACAAAAAWCATTAYCATRATGATACAAATTARGGAAAKTATTGAAAGAAATAGATCTCAGGAGAGGGTGCACACTCCCTGCACTCACCAGCTGGATCAGCCTATGTGACATTAGAAGAATATGAAGATTGAAAAATTATAAAGAATTCATTTGCATGATTTTCTTTAGAGAAGTGTGTTGGTCAAGGTCGTCCGCCATCTTGGAATTTTTATTCTCAGATTCTATTTTTTCTTATTTTTATGTAAAACTCGGGATGACCCTCTTCTCGGATGATAATATAACAYGTGACTATACTTGCAGGGAACCTTCGCATCGSGGAAGTATTCTCTAAGCGACAAGACTGGAACACTGCTACCCGACTTTCCCAATGCKTTATTACTGGAATTACCACCAGAAGTATCGCTAGATAAGGTGAGATGTCACCGTCCAGATGACGAGCCACGGTTTTTGCGCCTAGCACAGGCCTTTGGTTGCGTCGTAGCCATTTCAAACAATTGCTTCGCGGAGAAAAATTCATTCGTTTGCCAAACTTTTGCTGAACATATATCGTAATCTWACCTTATAAGGAAGTACGTTARAAAGTTTCTTTCAAGTTTTTTCCCTTTTTTAGTGCGTTAAAATGGCTAAAACTTGCAGAATTTGCAGAGAAATTACTTTGTCGGCGATTTAAATTTGTTCTAGTCCCCTCCCATCCTTGAAAATAAGG